TGGTGGATATATGTATAGCAGAGGTTTTAAATTTCATCTATACAAAAAAAGTCAATCAATCAATAAACTCCATGTATACAGATTTAACAACTACAAAGAAAAACAGAATAAAAAATATAAAGAAACAACAAAACAGATGCTGCATATACCCTGTATCCCTTTTGCATTACACTTTAAAAGGGATCCAGCAAGACCTCCTCCCCCACCTCTCCCCCCGATCTGATAAACCAAGGGAAATCCCCTTCAGACAATTCCTTCACCCAACCTCTGCTCCTGTCTAGTGCCTCAATTATGAATCAACAATTATCTTTCCTGGTTAGGTCATGCCCATTTGCATCAAACAAGCTTTCATGTTACCAATATAAACAAAACTGAAAAAGCAAAAAACAGCCAAAACAAAAATCTCTCTTTACTTTGGTATCCTCTTCCAGCTAATTCTCCATTTTTGTGCTATCTTTCATATTGAAACTTCTCCAAAATGTTATTGATATTATCCATTTATCATTTTCCTCAATTCCTGTTCATTTCTTAAATATGAAAATTAAGATTTGTTTCATTCCTTTCTTCATACTCAGCTTCCTTTAACTCTCAGCTATGTTTGCCAGTTTCTAACATGCTGCTTTTTGAAATGTTTTTCTTCCATATTTTATGATATCACACTCTTATTTTTCACTTATCTAACTGGCCTCTCTATCTAAACCTCTTCTACTTTACTTCTAAATGTTAGAGCATAAAAGGATTTAATTTGAACCCATATTCTCTTCCTGCCATTCTCTCTCTCCCCTCTTTTCTCTCCTTCAGTGCCATTATTTTTAAATAGTCTCTCTACAGAATAACTACTTTAGATCCCCAACCTCAACCTCTTCTCTCCTCTCCAGACTTAAATAAAACTGTACAGAATATTACTCCTTGGGTATCAAATAGATATCTGCATCAATAACCAAGACTTTGGTATGGCAGAAGGATAGACCCATAGATCAATGGAACAGAATAACATGTCCAGAAATATTGGGTTGGCCAAAAATTGTTTTCAGGTTTTGTTGTATGATATAATGGAAAAACTCAAATGAACTTTTTGGCCAAGCCAATAGAACCACACAAATTATGGCCATTTGATTTTGACATGACTGCAAAAAATAATTCTTTTTAAAAATTTCATATGCAAAAAAAAAAAGATCTCAAATATCATATGAAAAATTGATTCAAAGCAGACCATAGATGCAAGTAGAAAATATAAATCTATGAAATTTGAGGGGAAAATGAAAATATTTTTAGATTTTCAGACAATTAGATTTTGACCTACAAAAGAAAAATATATATAAAATAATTAATTAAAAACCAAAGCTTTTGCTATGTGAAATGCATTGCTAAAAGAATGAAAATATAAGCCACAGACTGAAAGAAGTATTTGCAAATTAACAATCATTAAAAGACTACACAAAGAACTCTCAAGAAAACAAACAGCACAATTAAAAACTGAGCAAAGGATTGAGCAGATACTTTAAGAGATTCTATGGATGTTTAATGAATACATGAAAAGTTGTTCAACATCACTAACTGTTAATAATATGCTAATTGAAATCACTATATGATATAATTACATACACATTAGAATGACTTAAGTAAGTAATGCCAAAGTTGTATGATTATATTAAATCCTAATGAGGATATAGAACAACTGGAACTCTCATACATTGCAGGTACGGATACGCCTCTGCAAAATAATCTAGCAGTGCTTTATAAAGTTAAAAACATCCTTACCAGATCACTATCCTTGGGTATGTAGACCAGAAATATGAAAACATATATTCACATAAAAACCTGTTCACAAATTTCAATGGCAACTCTATAATTACCCAAAACTGGATGGGCTTCCCTGGTGGCTCAGAGGGTAAAGAATCTGCCTGCGATGCAGGAGACCTGGGTTTGATTCCTGGGTCAGGAAGATCGCCTGGATAAGGAAATGACTAGCCACTCCAGTATTCTTGCCTGGAGAATTCCATGGACAGAGGAGTCTGGTGGGCTACAGTCCATGGGGTCACCAAGAGTTGGACACAATTGAGTGACTAACACACTGGAGACAATCCAAATGCCCTACAATGGGTAAAATTTAAAAAAAAAAATGTGGTAAAGTCATATGTGAAATACTATCCAGCAACAAAAAGGGACAAGCTACTGATAAATCTTAAGGTCATTATGCTAAGTGAAAGAAGCTAGTGTTAAATAATCACCTTTATTGATAATTATATTTTATGACATTGTCAAGAAAGACATAACTATAGTGATGAGGTTAAGGCTAGAGATGTTGGGAAAAACGAAGCTCTGTATATATAGCATGAGGGAATTTTGAAGGGCTATGTAGAGTTCTGTCTCCTGATTGTGGTAGTAACACAAATCTATGCATGTGTTATAATTCACACATCTTGGGTGTACAGCTATATAACTGAAAAAATCAGTTTTAATGCATGACAACTTAAAAATAAAAATTTTAAAAAGAAGTATCAAGCCTCATCCCTTTGGTAATATATATTTATTGAATAGTCATGTTAACTAAAAAAAAAAAAAAATCACCTCACAGAAATCTTGTAAAGTTGTAAAATAGGCCTCAAAATAGCTAAAAATATGACCTAGCCAATGATAGATATCCAATTACCTAAAATTCTCATTCCAATAAACACTAGACTTATTTTGCTTTAAGCCATATCTTCAATAAACCTCTTAATAATAATTTTCTGTTTCCTCAGGAATGCTGAGGCAGCAACATATGAACATTTTCTCAAGTCATTTAAGCCCCTTCTGTTTTACTTTCCCTGAATTTCATATGCAGAAAGACCATTTTGATCCTGGTTATATTAGCCAGCACTGTACGGATCCTGGACAAGTTTTATTAATATAATATTTGATTGTTGATTTCTAAAAAAACTTCCTTGACAGTTTAACAAAATATAGATTCAATTACAAAGCCAATAGAAGATTCTGGGGAATTTTAAATGAGGACATGCCTGTTTCATAAAATGAGGCTGATTCTCTGAATAATATTATTAAAGGTCAGCACCACAGCTGTGCATTTGATGAGCAGCTGTGTGAGCTACCGAGAACAATGAACTATCTGATTGGCACTGGACCCAGCCGTGCCAACAGTTAGGGTGGGAAGATTCTGAACAGATTTAGAACAAGTAACTGCTGAGTCCTGCTGTGTACACCTTAACCGTTGGAGAGTTTAAAGTATGTGGAATAAAGATAGTGCAATTTGAGGATAATATAGACACCCTATGGAGAATAGAGTTGGATTGGAGAAAGAAGAACAGAGAATGTTCCCTAGAGGTAACAGATACACTCTGTTCAAAAACATTAAATGAATTTAAATCTTTTAGGTTTAAGAATATCAAAGTAGAATGTTTTTGACAGCGTTTATTGAAAGGGTGGAAAAATTCACACAATCCCACTTTCTACTGGCAAGGTGAAACTTAAATCCTACTTATTTCAATCTAGAATTTACCTTGGATTTTTATGAGTCTGGAGAAACATGGTAAAATTTCTCCTTCCAAGAGCATGATTGGAAAATGAACAAAAGATATGTAGTTCAAGTAAAACAAATGAATCAACAGCCTGCAAATGCATGTGTGTATTTCTCATTGGTAAATAGCTCTTTGCCATTGTTATTTTCAAGATCACTGTGTGTATGAAGTAACTTTAACATTGTTCTTTACATATAGAATACAAATGAGGAAAAACACTCAGGGTGGAGTTCTACAGTTTTTAACAAATACCAAGGCTTATTGTTTCTTCTTGCTTTAATTATAGACAGTCTTCCCTTGTTATTGTTGTTCCTCTCGATTACATCACCATCAACTTCTTGTCTTTACTTATCTTTTATCCTTTACTTTATCCAAAGCAGACAGCCTTCAGACTTGAAGTTGGCTCTTCTATGGCCTCCAGGCTGACAGCCCACCCTACAGATTTTGGATGTATCAGCCTTTGTAATCACTTAAGCCAATTCCTTAAAGCAAATCTCTTTACACACACACACACACACACACACACACACACATACGTCCTATTGGTTCCATTTCTCTGGAGAATATTGACTGAGACACTTAACAACTCTGTGCAGAGATGAATTATGAATGTGGAGAAAAGATCAACAAAGCTGGTTAGCCATGCAGAATCAAGTTTGTTTTTAAAACTGTTAATATGCTCAATGTGAATGAATGTCTGACACCTTGAGTCTAGGCACATACCACTAAAGTGAGAACCTTAGATGAAATAGTCTTTGTGTAAACTTTCTTCAATAAATGTGAATTAAGGTGAATTCAAATATAAGTTTAGAATTCAAACAATATTAGTATTTATCTTTCAAGGTAGAGTCACATAACTTTTATGATGATATCTCTCACACCAAAATAGTAATCCTGCTTTTTCACTGCTCCTTAAGTCTGCTACATATTAAAATTTCCTCAATCCAGTTGCTAATGTTTCCTGTTTAGGTAGAAACTAAATGTCTAAATCTTCATAGGAAGAATGAAATATTAAATAGAAATATATCCAACTGCAGAAAGCAAGCACTGGAAAAAAGGTTTGTTTTTCCTTGTTTTCTGAAAACCTTTGAGGAAACAGAGAAAGGAGAGTTACACAACATACTACACATCCAACCACATTTACAAATATATATATTTTGGTCTTGTAGTCATCTGTAACTTTTAAAATTTCTCTCTCCCCTACCCTTGTTCCTCGTTTCACTCCCCACACCACAACACACAAGCACGCACACACATGCATGCACACTCACACCCTAAACCATTTCTAGGACATTTTATTTTGAGATTTCCTTCTGCAACCCATAAATCTCCTCATTTTGGAAAAACAAAAGAATCTTCCTGTTAACCATAATCTCTCTAAGGCAAAACCTAAAGTTTATGTATCTTTATAACTGACTTTTCAGGTATAAAATAAAAGCTTTTTAATCATTTGGTGACTTTTCCTTACTTTTTTATCTGGCTTTCTCAGTAGAGTTCTGATGTATTTCTGTTGGCTTCTCCAAGTGTTCTTTTCATATTGACTTACTCTATCTTGAGTCACGTGATTTTACACTTCAGAAATGTCTAATAATTCTCTTGGTTAGTGCTCCACCATGCCCTGTAAGACATTTTACTAATGTTATAGTCATCATAACCATATTCTTCCTACTACTTATTTTGTGGGTCTTTTAAATTTTCTCTCCTTTACTTTACAGTTAATTGTACTCTTATTCTTTATGGAAATGGGTATATGCTACATTATTAATACCTGTCTCATATCTTTACATGAACATGTAACCTGGTGAGTGAGCCTTCTTTTTCAGCTTCTTAGGAAATTATCTTAAATGCTGTCAGTTCCTGAATACTCTCCAATGTGAAGATTTAAAGAAAGAGAAGGCTGTCTCATCCTGGTGTGGAATTCTCAGAGACACCAGGCATCAACATCTGTAGAAAAGACAGACTGTACACTAGGCTGTCTTCTGGGGCTATACTGGATGAGAATAGGAGTCAGTTTTTAAGTAGGCTGATCATCATGATAAAAGGATTGACATATTTTTATTCTTTTGAGAAGAATGAGAGAGAATTCTGACCCACTTATCCCAAATGATTACATAACATGCAGTTATTAGTGGTAATAGAAAGTGGAAATGAAGAAATTCTCGGGAAATCTCTGTACCTCATTTTAAGCATAATTTAAATGTCAATGATAAGAAATATTTAATTTAGCTTTTACTAAAGCCTTTTCTTTGGAACATTAATTCTGTTTTATGTCCTCAAAAAAGAAAAGAAAAGTAAAACTTCCCAGAGCAATAAGTTTGAGCCATGCTGGGTTCAACAGAGTTTAAACCAGTTTCTGTATTGTAGGACAGTTAGAAGCCTTTAATACCCTTGTGTGCACTGTGAATGTCTAAAAAGGGAGATATAATATCCAGCATTCTCCAAAGTATTGGATTAAAGCAGTCTTTTTTTTTTCAAGAAGATTCTTACAGATGAATTTTATAGAAGATGAATTTTAATTTTCCATACATTGGAAAATGCTGCCCAAATCAGAATTGGTAATAGATGGAAAATTTGTATGATTGCATTAAATCTTCTTTCTCTTCCTCAATAAACCTGCCAGAAGGAATCAAAATTATGAAGGGCAAGTAAACTTATGGGAGAAGAAATAAAAAATCCCGAATAATCAGTCTGAAACTGCTTCAGAGTGAACCATACTTTTAGAAAAAAAATTGGCCTCCAGATTGTTCTGCAAATAGGCTATTTACAGGAAATGGAAATCAAGACATGCCCCCACCAAACACCTTTTTAAAAGTGAACAGCTACATTTGCTAAGCAATAATGCTTTCTTCTCCCTCTCCATAGCCAAGGGTGCTCACCAGTATTCAGTCGGCTGGTGGCTGGGAAAAAGTCCAACAGAACCATGGGTGAGCACTTCCCCACTCAGAACAAGCGATCACATTGATTAGTAGCTGCTCTGTAGGAGCTGGGAGACAGATGCCTTATTCTAATTACAGTTTTAGCACCTTCCACTCCACATTTCCCTGCTGCTGAGGGTTCTGTGAAGTCTTTGCAGATGCTTATCATTACCAGTTAAACTCCATTTTGAATACAAAGTAGCATTATTACCTCATGGGAACTCAAAAGAGTCCCGGCTAAATTTGCAGGATGCAGCCCCAGACTTCACCTGAGTAATACAAAGGAGGCACTCTGTATCTGAGTAACACAAAGGAGTCCCTCATCGACTCACAGAGATGAAGCCTCAGAGGGCCTCTGATGGCTTCACTTATCTCATACTGCAGCATGAATAGAACAAGGAACCACATTTGTGCAGATGGTTCCTGGCCTCTGGACTCAGCGATCAAGCGAAAGTCAGGGAAGCCAAGGAAACTGGGCCACCTCCTGTGGAAAGTTCACTTCACAGTGAGCTGGCCATGACACGCTTTCTGGCACCTCAGTTTCTTTCAGGAATTCTTTCTCTTTAACCTCTTGTGATTTTTTGTTTGTTTTGTTTTTCCTAAATCAATCTCCTTTTTCCTTCTGAATGCTTTTTCTTGGGACTGGAATTCATTCCCAGGGTTTCAGCCATCAGCTCTAATTGGACAACTAACAGAGTATATGCCTAAACCTTTGGCTTCTCTCATGAGCTACAGAGTCGTTTTTCATCCTAGTGGTGAACATCTTCACATGAGTATTTAACTGGTGACTCACATCAGCACATCAAAAAGAGAACATTTCCATTTCCACTCCTCTTATACTTCTTTCTTTCAAGACTTTTTTTTTTTAATGTATCTTACACGTTTGCACTGAGCTAAAGAATATGAAATAGACCATTTCTTCAATAAATACTTTTTGAGACCTAATTATGGACAATAGGCACCCTAGGGGCTGGGAATATAGCAGAAAAACAATTTTAGCCCTCCTGGAGCATATATTCTACTATACTATTACTGAAATAAACACGTCAGACATATACTATGTTGGAAGGCAATAAAGTTATGGAAAAAAGTTAAGCAAATGAAAAACCTCTGAGGAGAACAAATGTTTGCTATATTTTATGAATAGCAAAAACTGAATAGCACTAAAGCAGAATGAACTTGAGGAGAGAAAGTACCTCAAAGACTCAGTGGATCCAGATCATGATACAAAGGTTTCCATGTTTTCGAGCCAATGAATCAGACTGTGTGTGTGAGGGAAAAGTTTTAGGGTTAAGTTGCCTCAATCCAGGTTGCCTTTTATAGTTACCTAGCATATTGGGGGAGCCTGGTGGGCTGCCGTCTATGGGGTCACACAGAGTCGGACACGACTGAAGTGACTTAGCAGCAGCAGCAACATATTTTTAATATCAAAGCTCCAATCTCATATAAAACTGGTTAAACTAAAATCTCTGAGAATGAGACCCAGATACTGGTATCATTTAAAATCTCCCAAGATGATTTTAATATGCAGCCTGTGTTGAGAACCACTGAAATGTGGGCTTACTGGCTATTATAATGGCTTAATACACTCTGAGTAAAGCAGAATGTTTTTATCAGAGACGTGATACGATCCTACACATAGAAACAGATAGCTCTGGCTGGCAGCTAATGTGTGGAAAATAAATTGTGTGAGGAGTGACAGGAGTGTACATAGGGAGACCACTTGTGAGCTCTGACAGTAATTTGTGGGAGAAGATGGTATAATGAGCCACAGTGGAAGTGGTGGAGATGGCGAGAAGTGGTCATTTTCTGAAGCTATTTGGAAGACAGTCAACAGGATTTATTATTACATTAAATGTGTGTGACAGAAAGAAAATTCATTGTAACACCAAGGTTTCAGTCTAAGAAGGATGGTGCTGCCATAACTGAAGTGAGGAGTGAAAAGGAATGTGGGAGCAAGCTTAGAAGAAAAGATTAGGAATTGCTTTTGAGCTTGTCTTTTGTCTCTAATTGGAGAAGGAAATGGCAACCCACCACAGTACTCTTGCCCGGAGAATCCCATGGATGGAGGAGCCTGGTAGGCTACAGTCCACGGGGTCGAAAAGAGTCGGACACGACTGAGCGACTTCACTTTGTCTCTAGTAGACATAGAACAAAGACCCCAGACTCTGAAGTAGACAAACAGATCTAGAACTCAGGAGTTCAGAGGAGAAATCTAAACTGGAGATGAATATTTGGAAGTTATCAGTAATAAAACCAAGAGACTCTATGAGGGCACTTAAGGAGTGAGTGAAATAAAGAAAAGACATACAAGATCTGACTACCATTGGAACTTAGGGCATGTGAGTAGCCAGTGAGGAAAGAAGGGAACCAGTAGAGTAGTGGGAAAGGAGTATTTCAATTAAGTTTGTTTCTCCCACTATTTTTGCTAAACAAGTAAAATAAGAACTGAGTATTAATTACCTATTGGAATATACATATATTCCAATTACATAACCCAAAGAGATGAAGTGGGAACAACTTTTTAGTACATTGTGTAATAAAAGGGAACAGAGAAGTATACTTGTAACAGAAGAGGAAAGAGGGCTTAAGAAGGTGTGTGATGTTTTTGCAATGACTACAAAGTTTACAGCATGTTTTATGCAATACAAGAGTCAGCTAGAACCATTGCTGGAGATAAGTCCTTGAGTAAATGCAAGGGAATGAAATCTGATAAAGTCATTAAGAGAAGATTCTGAACTTTGCTAAAACCACCAACAGTTTTTCCAAGAAACAAGTGGGATTACAAGGATAAATCAGCATGGTAGGATTACATGGACATTTTTTTCTGATTGCAAACCACTAAATTTTGTAGTGTTTAAAATTCCATTGTCCTTTCATGTAGCTCTTAAGTCAAGAAAAGTTTTGGTGTATAAAATGACTTTCAAATTCTAGGTTCGACGGTTTGATGTTTTTTTGTTTGTTTTAATTGTAACATCTTGATTTTTCAGAGCCAGAGTTACTTATCTCTCTTCATTTTCTAAGTCACCCATATGTCCCATAATTTAGTAGTTTTCTAAACAATTATCCTTCAAAAATAGATAATATGTTTTGTGAAATAACAACCTGTGTGAGTTTACTTTGAGAAAAGCATGAGTCAGATACAATGAGTTTTCTCTCCCTGTCTAAGAGCCCTCACAAACACTTTGTCCCCAAGCTCTCACTCAGCTTTCTTCAAAGAGTCTTAATCCTCTGCTTCCAATGGACATCAATTCAGGTTGAATAAGGCATAAAAGAGTCATGCCTCTGCTTTAACATATGTTAGACTTATTATATAACTTTCAAAAGATCTACTAAAAATATCCGTGTTTATCTCTCATGTAGGAGAACATTATATTAGTTCATGAAAAAGTGGAATTTATTAAACTACTGATTATATTTAAGTATTAGTCAATGGAGGAGTTTATGAATAGTCTCAGTGCAGGAGACTTCAGAGACACAGGTTCAATCTCTGGGTCTGGAAGATTCCCTGGAGGAGGGTATGGCAACCCACTCCAGTATTCTTGTCTGGAGAATCCTGTGGACAGAGGAGCCTGGGTCTCAAAAAGTCAGACATGACTGAGCAACTTAGCACAGCACATTAGTCAATGGAATACTGATATTTGCAATCATGGAAACTTTCTTCCATGTAATGACCAAAAAAAGCTTAGATCAATACTTTTTGGCAAATCCTACAATTAAAGTATTGCTTATCATTTTGCTGTGAAGAAAAAGTTTAAAATTCTTATATCAGATCTTGTTATTTTTTACTGTGTCTGGTATTATGGGATCACATTGAATAATCCCAGATGAGATCTGGCTTCCACTATTCCCAGTAATCTAACAGGAGTGGAGATATAAGAGAAGAACAACCACCTTAATGAGTATAGTTAAAACTTTAATTGATAAATCAATAATAAATTTATTTATTGATAAAAATTGAGTAAAATTGATCAAAACTGTATAAACAGGATTTTACCTGATAGAATTCATTAGAATATAAACTCCATG